TGTGTTACTTCAGACTTAATACCCGTTTTTATGCAACAGTTCAAGCGATCTCGGACATACAATGCCACCCCACCCCCCTTCCCGATACTTCTATCTACTTGGAACAATTTAAAACCCTGAATGTGACATTCTGCAGGCATGTCCCGACTTTTTGAATTAAACCACGTCTCAGTAATGGCAAATACATCTATGTTACCTGCACTAGCAACTAGTCTCAACTCGCCCATCTTATTCCTAGCACTGCGACTATTTGTGTAATAAACTTTTAATGACCCTCCTCTCTCTTTACCCTTCCTGCTCCTTTCTATTATTCCACTAAACCTATTACTGTCCTTGTCAATTAGTGCCACTGGCTTTCCAATATCCACCTCATTTTGCCTATTACTAGTTCTCCTAGTACTCATATTACTACCCTGCGACTTCACAGTTTTCCTGCAAAAACCCATACCTCTAACTAATCCTAGTTTAAAGTCCTAACAACCCCCTCAACTGAGTTAGCAAGAAAACCCACACCTGCCCTGGATAAGTGAACCCCATCCCTGGCATACATGTCATTTCGGCCATAGAAGTTGTCCCAGTTGTCAATGAATGGTACTGCATTATCCTTACAGTGTTTATCCAGCCAACAATTAATACCAATTGCTCTGGACAACCATTCATTACCAACACCTCTTCTTGGCAAAATGCCACATATAACAGGGCGCCCCCCCTTCTTCCTAATCATGTCTATAGCTGTCCTGAACTTTCTAACTAAATCCTCACTTCTACGCTTGCCAACATCATTGCCTCCAGCACTGAGTCAAATAATAGGATTGATCCCATTACCGTTCATGATGTTGTCAAGCCGGCTAACAATGTCCTCCATCCCAGCCCCAGGAAAGCATACCCTTTGTCTCCTACTCCTGTCCTTCAAGCAGAATGCCCTATCCATGTATCTAACCTGGCTATCCCCAACAACAACAATATTCTTACCTTCCTTGTTGTCGTTCGTCGTGACGATCCCAGTAGTAGACTCACATTCGTCGGGTAGCACCGAGAATGCGTTGGAGGTTTCCACGGGAGTTTCCACAGCAGTCTCTTTCTTCTTCATCGTTTCTGGCTTTCCATTCGTCTTCTTGATCGTCAACTTCGTCGTCCCCTGCTGTCCAGCCACTGACCACGATCCCTTCTTGACCTGAGGACTCGAAACAGGAGGACTACTACGAATCCTCTTGTTTTCTTCGGTCAGTCGCCGTATCTCCATCTTCGCTACCCTCAATTCTTCCTTAAGTTGCTGGTAAAGTTGCTCGATGGAGGGCATCTTGGTTCAGTCCACAGGAGCAAACAAGACACTTCTTCACGGAGTTAAGTTAGGCGTCTCTTTTATTTACTAGTGTTTGAGGCGTCTCTTTTGTTTACTAGTGTGTCAGGCGTCTCTTTTGTTTACTAGTGTTTGAGGCGTCTCTTTTGTTTACTAGTGTGCCAGGCGTCTCTTTTGTTTACTAGTGTTTTAGGCGTCTCTTTTGTTTACTAGTGTTTGAGGCGTCTCTTTTGTTTACTAGTGTGTCAGGCGTCTCTTTTGTTTACTAGTGTGTCAGGCGTCTCTTTTGTTTACTAGTGTTTGAGGCGTCTCTTTTGTTTACTAGTGTTTGAGGCGTCTCTTTTGTTTACTAGTGTTTGAGGCGTCTCTTTTGTTTACTAGTGTTTGAGGCGTCTCTTTTGTTTACTAGTGTCAGGCGTCTCTTTTGTTTACTAGTATTTGAGGCGTCTCTTTTGTTTACTAGTGTGTCAGGCGTCTCTTTTGTTTACTAGTGTGTCAGGCGTCTCTTTTGTTTACTAGTGTGTCAGGCGTCTCTTTTGTTTACTAGTGTTTGAGGCGTCTCTTTTGTTTACTAGTGTGTCAGGCGTCTATTTTGTTTACTAGTGTGTCAGGCGTCTCTTTTGTTTACTAATGTTTGAGGCGTCTCTTTTGTTTACTAGTGTGTCAGGCGTCTCTTTTGTTTGCTAGTGTTTGAGGCGTCTCTTTTGTTTACTAGTGCTTGAGGCGTCTCTTTTGTTTACTAGTGTCAGGCGTCTCTTTTGTTTACTAGTGTGTCAGGTGTCTCTTTTGTTTACTAGTGTGTCAGGCGTCTCTTTTGTTTACTAGTGTTTGAGGCGTCTCTTTTGTTTACTAGTGTGTCAGGCGTCTCTTTTGTTTACTAGTGTTTGAGGCGTCTCTTTTGTTCACTAGTGTTTGAGGCGTCTCTTTTGTTTACTAGTGAGTCAGGCGTCTCTTTTGTTTACTAGTGTTTGAGGCGTCTCTTTTGTTTGCTAGTGTTTGAGGCGTCTCTTTTGTTTACTAGTGTTTGAGGCGTCTCTTTTGTTTACTAGTGTCAGGCGTCTCTTTTGTTTACTAGTGTTTGAGGCGTCTCTTTTGTTTACTAGTGTTTGAGGCGTCTCTTTTGTTTACTAGTGTTTGAGGCGTCTCTTTTGTTTACTAGTGTTTGAGGCGTCTCTTTTGTTTACTAGTGCTTGAGGCGTCTCTTTTGTTTACTAGTGTTTGAGGCGTCTCTTTTGTTTACTAGTGTTTGAGGCGTCTCTTTTGTTTGCTAGTGTTTGAGGCGTCTCTTTTGTTTACTAGTGTTTGAGGCGTCTCTTTTGTTTACTAGTGTTTGAGGCGTCTCTTTTGTTTACTAGTGCTTGAGGCGTCTCTTTTGTTTACTAGTGTTTGAGGCGTCTCTTTTGTTTACTAGTGTTTGAGGCGTCTCTTTTGTTTACTAGTGTTTGAGGCGTCTCTTTTGTTTACTAGTGTTTGAGGCGTCTCTTTTGTTTACTAGTGTTTCAGGCGTCTCTTTTGTTTACTAGTGTTTGAGGCGTCTCTTTTGTTTACTAGTGTTTGAGGCGTCTCTTTTGTTTACTAGTGTTTGAGGCGTCTCTTTTGTTTACTAGTGTTTGAGGCGTCTCTTTTGTTTACTAGTGTGTCAGGCGTCTCTTTTGTTTACTAGTGTTTTAGGCGTCTCTTTTGTTTACTAGTGTTTGAGGCGTCTCTTTTGTTTACTAGTGTGTCAGGCGTCTCTTTTGTTTACTAGTGTGTCAGGCGTCTCTTTTGTTTACTAGTGTTTGAGGCGTCTCTTTTGTTTACTAGTGTTTGAGGCGTCTCTTTTGTTTACTAGTGTTTGAGGCGTCTCTTTTGTTTACTAGTGTTTGAGGCGTCTCTTTTTTACTAGTGTCAGGCGTCTCTTTTGTTTACTAGTGTTTGAGGCGTCTCTTTTGTTTACTAGTGTGTCAGGCGTCTCTTTTGTTTACTAGTGTGTCAGGCGTCTCTTTTGTTTACTAGTGTGTCAGGCGTCTCTTTTGTTTACTAGTGTTTGAGGCGTCTCTTTTGTTTACTAGTGTGTCAGGCGTCTATTTTGTTTACTAGTGTGTCAGGCGTCTCTTTTGTTTACTAATGTTTGAGGCGTCTCTTTTGTTTACTAGTGTGTCAGGCGTCTCTTTTGTTTGCTAGTGTTTGAGGCGTCTCTTTTGTTTACTAGTGCTTGAGGCGTCTCTTTTGTTTACTAGTGTCAGGCGTCTCTTTTGTTTACTAGTGTGTCAGGTGTCTCTTTTGTTTACTAGTGTGTCAGGCGTCTCTTTTGTTTACTAGTGTTTGAGGCGTCTCTTTTGTTTACTAGTGTGTCAGGCGTCTCTTTTGTTTACTAGTGTTTGAGGCGTCTCTTTTGTTTACTAGTGTTTGAGGCGTCTCTTTTGTTTACTAGTGAGTCAGGCGTCTCTTTTGTTTACTAGTGTTTGAGGCGTCTCTTTTGTTTACTAGTGTTTGAGGCGTCTCTTTTGTTTACTAGTGTTTGAGGCGTCTCTTTTGTTTACTAGTGTCAGGCGTCTCTTTTGTTTACTAGTGTTTGAGGCGTCTCTTTTGTTTACTAGTGTTTGAGGCGTCTCTTTTGTTTACTAGTGTTTGAGGCGTCTCTTTTGTTTACTAGTGTTTGAGGCGTCTCTTTTGTTTACTAGTGCTTGAGGCGTCTCTTTTGTTTACTAGTGTTTGAGGCGTCTCTTTTGTTTACTAGTGTTTGAGGCGTCTCTTTTGTTTACTAGTGTTTGAGGCGTCTCTTTTGTTTACTAGTGTTTCAGGCGTCTCTTTTGTTTACTAGTGTTTGAGGCGTCTCTTTTGTTTACTAGTGTTTGAGGCGTCTCTTTTGTTTACTAGTGTTTGAGGCGTCTCTTTTGTTTACTAGTGCTTGAGGCATCTCTTTTGCTTACTAGTGTTTGAGGCGTCTCTTTTGTTTACTAGTGTTTGAGGCGTCTCTTTTGTTTACTAGTGTTTGAGGCGTCTCTTTTGTTTACTAGTGTTTGAGGCGTCTCTTTTGTTTACTAGTGCTTGAGGCGTCTCTTTTGTTTACTAGTGTTTGAGGCGTCTCTTTTGTTTACTAGTGCTTGAGGCGTCTCTTTTGTTTACTAGTGCTTGAGGCGTCTCTTTTGTTCTAAATGATAGAAGCTTCGCCTTAATTATCGTGTATTTATGTACAGGTTTAAATGTTTGATTGAGACCTGAAGACTTTATTATTATTATTATTATTATTATTATTATTATTATTATTATTATTATTATTATTATTATTATTATTGTTGTTGTTGTAATTATGGGGAGCGCTTGACCCGTAATATTATACAGCGCATGTGGGGGATGGGAGACATTCAGGATCAATTCAGGGAACTGGAGCACGGATCCAATTCCCTAGATCAAGATCCCCTCACCAACGTCACGGAACCTCCCTTGAGGACTCTAAACATCAGAACGTCTCAGTTAGACTTCAGTTGCACAAACTGTTGCAGTGAGAGGTGTTGATAAAGGTCAGGTGGACAGTGACTGTCCAGGGAGGCACTGACCTCCTGTCACGCAGGTGCGAAATGGAAGCTTGTTAAATGTTTTGCACTCTGGCAGTAATAATTTCTTCCTCTGCCTCTTGAAGGCATAAATTAACAGGTGATAATTTGTAATTAATGAGACCTGGTCTAAGACCAGAAATTAATGATATTTTATCTGGCAGGGGATCCCCGTCTGCGCCTGTTCATTACCCACGGTGGTCTGTTGAGTTCCCAAGAGGCTACGTACCACGGCGTGCCCATCCTGGGTATTCCGGTTTTTGCAGATCAGCAACACAACATGAGAAATTCCCAGAGGGAGGGCTGGGCACGAACTATGACCTGGGATGACCTCTCGTACGACCTCCTACGTCAGAATATCCTGCAGATCATCAGTGACACCAAGTAATGAACACTTCGTTATTTTAATACACTGTGAAGTATATACATCACGCTATGTATATTCCAAATTTATCTACGATATATTCAGCAAAAATAGAGAGCAAGCGATACAGCAAACCACCTACAGTGGGGAGTTGATTGATAGCTCTAGGCCTTTCGTGTTGCAATCAAAACATCTTCAGGAGCTTCCAGTGTTATAGAAAGGATTAGTAAGGTCAGGTAGACAATAAGGTCAGGTAGACATGTAAGGTCAGGTAGACAAAAAAGGTCAGGTAGACATGTAAGGTTAGGTAGTCATGTAAGGTCAGGTAGACATGTAAGGTCAGGTAAACAAGTAAGGTCAGATAGACAGGTAAGGTCAGGTAGTGTTTAATGAGATTAATTGGTGCTCTGGTAGCGGGGAGTAAATGATACGTCTTCGAGGCTTCTTACTTTATTGTTAAGTCGTGGTGGGTACACAGGCTTGTGTGTTGTGCCCATGGCCCGGGCAGGGCCATCCCACGAGAGGAGCTAGGAGAAGCCCTTCTTATCTGCGTGAATAGTGACGCCAGAGTGGGGGTGAGGCAAGGGCAGGCAGGCTGGCGTGCCCACCGAGAGGCCTGGCTACAGAGGGCAGCACCTGAGTGGCGCGAAATATAAACTAAGTTGGCAGACAGCATAGGCTGTCTGTGCAGACAGTACAGGCTGTCTACAGTAGAGATGTAAAGTCAGGTAGACAAGTAAGGTCAGGTAGACATGTAAGGTCAGGTAGACATGTAAGGTCAGGTAGACAAGTAAGGTCAGATAGACAGGTAAGGTCAGGTAGACAAGCAAGGTCAGATAAGATAAGATAAGATAAGATTTCGTTCGGATTTTTAACCCCGGAGGGTTAGCCACCCAGGATAACCCAAGAAAGTCAGTGCGTCATCGAGGACTGTCTAACTTATTTCCATTGGGGTCCTTAATCTTGTCCCCCAGGATGCGACCCACACCAGTCGACTAACACCCAGGTACCTATTTGCTGCTAGGTGAACAGGACAACAGGTGTAAGGAAACGTGTCGAATGTTTCCACCCGCCGGGAATCGAACCCGGGCCCTCCGTGTGTGAAGCGGGAGCTTTAGCCACCAGGCCACCGGGCCACCGGTGACATGTAACGTCAGGTAGACATGTAACGTCAGGTAGACATGTAAGGTCAGGTAGACATGTAACGTCAGGTAGACATGTAAGGTCAGGTAGACAAGTAAGGTCAGGTAGACAAGTAAGGTCAGGTAGACATGTAAGGTCAGGAAGACATGTAACATCAGGTAGACATGTAACGTCAGGTAGACATGTAAGGTCAGGTAGACATGTAACGTCAGGTAGACATGTAAGGTCAGGTAGACAAGTAAGGTCAGGTAGACAAGTAAGGTCAGGTAGACATGTAAGGTCAGGAAGATATGTAACATCAGGTAGACATGTAACGTCAGGTAGACATGTAAGGTCAGGTAGACATGTAACGTCAGGTAGACATGTAAGGTCAGGTAGACAAGTAAGGTCAGGTAGACAAGTAAGGTCAGGTAGACATGTAAGGTCAGGAAGACATGTAACATCAGGTAGACATGTAACGTCAGGTAGACATGTAAGGTCAGGTAGACATGTAACGTCAGGTAGACATGTAAGGTCAGGTAGACAAGTAAGGTCAGGTAGACAAGTAAGGTCAGGTAGACATGTAAGGTCAGGTAGACAAGTAAGGTCAGTTAGACATGTAAGGTCAGGTAGACAAGTAAGGTCAGGTAGACAAGTAAGGTCAGGTAGACATGTAAGGTCAGGTAGACATGTAAGGTCAGGTAGACAAGTAAGGTCAGGTAGACAAGTAAGGTTAGGTAGACATGTAAGGTCAGGTAGACATGTAAGGTCAGGTAGACATGTAAGGTCAGGTAGACATGTAAGGTCAGGTAGACAAGTAAGGTGAGGTAGACAAGTAAGGTCAGGTAGACATGTAAGGTCAGGTAGACATGTAAGGTCAGGTAGACATGTAAGGTCAGGTAGACAAGTAAGGTCAGGTAGACATGTAAGGTCAGGTAGACATGTAAGGTCAGGTAGACAAGTAAGGTCAGGTAGACATGTAAGGTCAGGTAGACAAGTAAGGTCAGGTGGACAAGTAAGGTCAGATAGACATGTAAGGTCAGGTAGACAAGTAAGGTCAGGTAGACATGTAAGGTCAGGTAGACATGTAAGGTCAGGTAGACATGTAAGGTCAGGTAAAACAAGTAAGGTGGGGTTTAGACATGTAAGGTCAGTAGACAAGTAAGGTCAGGTAGACATGTAGGTCAGGTAGACATGTAAGGTCAGGTAGACAAGTAAGGTCAGGTAGACAAGTAAGGTCAGGTAGACATGTAAGGTCAGGTAGACAAGTAAGGTCAGGTAGACATGTAAGGTCAGGTAGACATGTAAGGTCAGGTAGACAAGTAAGGTCAGGTAGACATGTAAGGTCAGGTAGACATGTAAGGTCAGGTAGACATGTAAGGTCAGGTAGAGAAAGACTGCCCTCAACCAGTCTAAAAGGAGTTCCTACACATTTATGCAACACTGGAAGCTCTTGAAGAGTGTTGCTTACCGTAGGAAAGACCCAGAACTATCACTCAACTTCCCACTGTGGATATTTTACACGTTATATTGTAATGGACCTTGTAAATAATATTAAGAACGATTTTTATCAAATAAGTTTATTGTAAATGATTTACAACATTTCGTCCAACAGTGACTTCGTCAGTCCAGTATAGAGATCAATGGTGGATGATAAGGTGGGTTGAGGTAATCAGTCCCTCAGGATGCAATCGATGTGTTCCGACCATCAAGCGACTCCAGACTGAGTGACTGATTACCTCTACCAACATTCATCTATGTACCGGACTGAGAAAGCCACCGGTTAGTGAAACTTGACCACAATGAAGGTTACCACATGTATGGTACTGGTACTTCAGTTGAGTCTTGTGAGTCAGGTAGAAATTGTAATATGTTGGGCTAATATTTTTGTTAGTGGGGTTGAGATGGACGTGCCAAGTACGGGCCAGTAGGCTTGTTGCAGTGTTCCTCCTTCCTCATATCATTACGTTCCTTACGACAGACTGAGGCAGGAGTCGGAGCGACGTTCAGCAGTGATGAGAGATCAGCCCATGACACCAGCAGAGTGGACCGTGTACTGGGCTGAGTATGTCATCAGGCACCGTGGAGCGACCCACCTCCGCTCTCCGTTCTTTACCATGCCATGGTGAGTGCCATTATACTTCGCTGAATGCCACTGTACTCTGGTGAGTGTCACTACACTCTGGTGAACGCCACTATACTCTTGTGAGTGCCACTATACTCTGCTGAGTGCCACTATACTTTGGTGACTGCCACTATACTCTAGTGAGTGCTACTATTCTCTGGTGAGTGCCACTATACTCTGCTGAGTGCCACTATACTCTTGTGAGTGCCACTATACGTAGTGAGTGCCACTATACTATGGTGAGTGTCACTATAGTCTAGTGAGTGCCACTATAGCTGGTGAGTGCCACTATACTCTGGTGAGTGCCATTTACTCTGGTGAGTGCCACTATACTCTGATTAGTGTCATTATACCTGGTGAGTGCCACTGTACCTGGTGAGTGCCACTATACTCTGGTGAGTGCCGCTATTCTCTGGTGTGTCACTATACTTTGGTAAGTGACACTATACCTGGTGAGTGCCACTATGCTCTGTTGAGTCCCGATATACTCTGGTGAGTGCCACTCTACTCTGGTGAGTGCCACTATACTCTGGTGAGTGCCGCTATACCCTGGTGAGTGCCACTATAGCCTGCTGATTGCCACTATATTCTGGTGAGTGCCACTATATTCTGGTAGTGCCACTATACTCTGGCGAGTGCCACTATACTTTGGTGAGTGCCACTATACTCTTCTGAGTGCCACAATAATCTGGTGAGTGCCACTACTCTTTTGAGTGCCACAATAGTCTGGTGAGTACCACTATACCCTGGTGAGTGCCACTATACTCTGTGGTGCCACTATACTCTGGCGAGTGCCACTATACTTTGGTGAGTGCCACTATACTTTTCTGAGTGCCACAATAGTCTGGTGAGTGCCACTATAATCTGGTGAGTGACATCATGCCCTGTCTCATATATTGTTATCATGCCTCTCCTAATCATTGTGTCTTCTAAAGTCATCTGGTTCAATGACTTTAGTCTTTCTCTTCGTAACTCGGTCCCCTCGACTTCGGGACTAGTTTTGTTGTAAATCTCTGACAATTGTTCGTGTCATGCTGGATGGATTGATCCTTACTGTGCGGACAAATGCCAGGGAGGATATTACGGGGTGTCATGTAGAGGGGTAATGGAACGTATGGAATGTAAGGATAATTGGGGAATATGGGAGTAAAGGGAGTGAATAGATAGGAGTTAGGCAGGAGAGAGGAGGTAATGTGAGGTTAGTGGTAACTACACCATCACCTCTCATTACTCCACCCACCACACTACTCACCCTCTCACTACTTCTATTTGCCAAGACAAGGTGTGACCATATAATTGATTAAATTAGATCCCCCTCAGAGACCTACCAAGCATAGTTGTACTACATCACAGGGGTGGACTGCAGGGATCGATGTCGATTTCAGAACAGCGGGGCTTGTGACCATGTTTATGAAGCCTGTCAATGTCCTCTGTGGACCTTGAGTTTTTGAGCTTGTTTGAAAAGGTGGGGGGCTCCATGTTGGTGCTGCATACTCGATGACTTCTAGAGGTGTCTTTTTTAAGGTTTCCTTGTGTGTGTGTGTGTGTGTGTGTGTGTGTGTGTGTGTGTGTGTGTGTGTACTCACATAATTGTACTCACCTAATTGTGGTTGCAGGGGTCGAGAGACAGCTCCTAACCACGCCTCTTTACTGATTGCTACTAGGTCCTCTCTCTGCTTTCAGAGCTTTGTCATACCTCGTCTTAAAGCTATGTATGGTTCCTGCCTGCACTACATCACTTGTTAGGCTCTTCCACTTCCTGACGACTCTGTGACTGAAGAAATACTTCCTAACATCCTTATGACTCGTCTGAGTCTTCAGTTTCCAAGATTGACTCATTGTTTCTGTGTCCCCTCTCTGGAACAACCTGTCTCTGTCTACCTTATCTATTTGTATGCAGTATTTTGTGTGTTGTTATCATGTCTCCCCTGACTCGCCTGTCCTCCAATGTCGTCAGTCTAATTTCCCTCAACCTTTCTTCGTAGGACATACCCCTGAGCTCCGGAACTAGCCTTGTTGCAAACCTTTGCACTTTCTCTAATTTCTTGACGTGTTTGACCAGGTGTGGGTTCCAAACTGGAGCTGCATACTCCAGTATGGGCCTGATGTGCACAGTGTACAGTGTCTTGAACGATTCCTTACTAAGGTATTGGAACGGTATTCTCAGGTTTACCAGGCGCCCGTATGCTGCAGCGGTTATCTGGTTGATGTGTGCCTCTGGAGACATGCTCGGTGTTATGGTCACCCCCAGATCTTTCTCCTTGAGCGAGGTTTGCAGTCCTTGGTCACCTAGTCTATATTCTGTCTGTGATCTTCTTTGCCCTTCTCCGATCTTCATGACTTTGCATTTGGCAGTGTTGAATTCAAGAAGCCAGTTGCTGGACCAGGTGTCCAGTCTGTCCAGGTCTCTTTGAAGTCCTGCCTGGTCCTCATCTGATTTAATTCTCCTCATTAACTTCACATCATCTATGAACAGGGACACCTCTGAGTCTATCCCTTCCATCATGTCATTCACATATACCAGAAATAGCACTGGTCCTAGGACCGACCCCTGAGGGACCCCACTCGTCACAGGTGTCCACTGTGATACCTCATCCCATACCTTGACTCGTTGTTGCCTCCCTGTCAGGTATTCTCTGATCCATTGCAGTGCCTGATAGTATATGCGCCTGATCCTCTAGTTTCTGCACTAGTCTCTTGTGAGGAACTGTGTCGATGGCCTTCTTGCAGTCCAAGAAAATGCAATCAACCCACCCCTCTCTCTCGTATCACACTTCTGTAACTTTGTCATAGAACTCCTGAAGGTTTGTGACACAGGATTTGCCTTCCATGAATCCGTGCTGGTTATCATTTATAATCTTGTTCCGTTCAAGGTGCTCCACCACTCTCCTGATAATCTTCTCCATGACTTTGCATACTATACAAGTCAGTGACACTGGTCTGTAATTTAGTGCCTCTTTTCTGTCTCTTTTTTTAAAAATGGGAACTACATTTGCAGTCTTCCATACCTCAGGTAGTTGCCCAGTTTCAAGGGATGTGTTGAAGATTGTGGTTAATGGCACACACAATATATCTGCTCCCTCCCTGAGGACCCAGGAGGAGATATTGTCCGGTCCCATTGCTTTTGAGGTATAAAGGTTGCTTAGCAGCTTCTTCTCCTCCTCCACAGTTGTGTGCATATCGTCCAGCACCTATTGGTCTATTCCCTGTTGGTGTACCCCTGTGTCCTGTCTTCCCAGAGTCCTTCCTGTCTCCACTGTGAATACATCCATAAATCTCCTGTTGAGCTCCTCGCATACCTCTTGATCGTTTCTTGTGAGTTCCCCACCTTCTTTCCTCAGCCTGATCACCTGGTCTTTGTCGTCTTTCTCCTAATGTGGCTAAACAGCAGTTTCGGGTCAGACTTGGCTTTCGATGCTATGTCATTTTCGTACTGTCGCTGGGCCTCCCTCCTTATCTGAGCATATTCGTTTCTGGCTCTTCGACTGATCTCCTTGTTTTCCTGGGTCCTTTGCCTTCTATACTTCTTCCATTCTCTAATGCACTTAGTTTTTGCCTCCCTGCACCTTTGGTTAAACAAAGGACTCGCTTTGGTCTTCCCATTGTTTCCGTTGCCTCTGGGAACAAACCTTTCCTCTGCCTCATTGCATTTTGTTGTTACATACTCCATCATTTCATTTACTGTCTTTCCTACCATTTCTCCGTCCTACTGCACCTCCCGCAGGAAGTTACTCAAACCTGTGTAGTCCCCCCTTTTATAGTTAGGCTTTTTCCATTTGACTCCTGTTGCCCTCTCCTGTAACTCTACTATGTAATCAAAACTCAGGACTATGTGGTCACTAGCTCCGAGGGGCCTCTCATATGTGATGTCATCATTGTCTGAGCTACTCAGGGTGAACACAAGGTCCAGTCTTGCTGGTTCATCCTCCCCTTGCTCTCTGGTAGTGTCCCTGATGTGTTGATACATGAGGTTTTCTAGTATCACATCCATCATCTTGGCTCTCCATGTTTCATGACCCCCATGGGGCTCCAGGTTTTCCCAATCGATCTCCCTGTGGTTGAAATCACCCATAATCAGTAACTTTGCTCTGCACGTTTGAGATCTTTGAGCCACCTCATGGTGGTGTGTCCACCATCACTCTGTTCTCATCATATTCCTCTCTTGGCCTCCTGCAGTTCTGTGGTGGGTTAAACATCAGAACAATGACTACCTAATGCTCCCCAGATTGAATTGTGCCTGCTATGTAGTCCCTTTCTCCAATCTCGTCCATGCCCTCCATTTCCTCAAAACTCCATCAGTTTTTAATGAGCAGTGCAACCCCTCCTCCCCCCTCTGCTCCTTCTATCTTTCCTCAGGATCTGATATCCCGGTGGGAAGACTGCATCTCTTATTGTCTCAGTGAGTTTCGTTTCTGTGACTGCTATGATGTCTGGGGACTTTTCGTTGATTCTTTCCTGCCATTCCTCGTATTTATTTGCTATTCCATCTGCGTTTGTTTATGACATCTTCAACATCTTGTCTATCACAGTGGACCTGGGAGAATATTAGGGTTGGGAGGGTGGGAGCCCTAGGGGGGGTTATGGGGGTTTGTGGTGTGGGTGGGATTTGTGGTGGGGGGTTAGGTCAGAGTGCCCATAGGGAGCTGCTGTGGCAGTGGGGGGTGGGGGCAGGGGGAACAGTGTGTGGGTGTTGGTTGAGATTGTTCAGCTGCATTGAGGTTTTCACAGTGTGGGTGGGGTTTGTGATGGGGACTGGAGGCAGAGGGAACAATGTGTGGGTTTTAGTTGAGGTTGTTCAGTTGCTTCGGGGTTGTTGTGGTTGGAGTTCTTCTGTGGGTGTCTCTGTAGGGTGTATTTGTCATTCCACCTGAGTCTGGTTTCTGCTCGTCCTCATCGATGCCTCCCGTTCCTTTTTTCATTTTTGTACCCTCTCTCTCAGTCTCGTCCTTTCCTCCTGTGTTCTGTCGCGATCGAGGTACACGCTCCAGTACTCTGAATTG